ATCAATCCCAGTAGCTGGGATTATAGGCGTGTACCACCACGCCTGGCTCATTTTTTGTATTTTTAGTAGAGATGGGGTTTCTCCATGTTGGCCAGGCTGGTCTCAAACTCCTGACCTCAGGTGACCTGCCTGCCTCGGCCTCCCAAAGTGCTGGGATTACAGGCCTGAGCCACTGCACCTACCAATAACCTTCTAACTAGACTTTACACCAATAGCATTTTTCTTATTTCAACTCATCTTTTATGTTGCCAGCACTGTTATCTACCTGAAAACGGAATTAAGTCTGTCCTTGCCTCCACTGCTTTTCAATGGCTGCAAGCTTAAAGCTCAGTATTCTTCACCAGCTATTCCAGGCCTTTTATAGCTGGTTCCAGTTTACATTCACAGTCGCTTTCTTTTCTGCATCTTGTACCCCAGTTACTTCTTGCCATTCCTCAAATAAGCTAGGCCTTCCTTCGTGCATTTTTGTACAAGCTGTCCCCTTTGCAAAAAAGCTGTTTTCCCTTAGTCCACCTGGCAAATTTCTCTTGAACTCACAGGTCACCCAGGCAACTGGCCTTTTCTTCACAGTCCTGTGTTATACCTCTACAATATATAACTCACTCTTGCCTATTTACCCCATACTTTGTGAACACCTGGAAAGCATGAATTTTTGTTTATTCACTTCAGAATTTTCTGAGCTTTTTATGTAGTGGGTGTGTAGTCGTTCCTAGGAAAGATTTATTAAATGAATAATCAAATTAGAAGATAACATTCTATTTTAAGTTATGCACATAGTTTAATATCTTATATAATTATGAATAAGTACATGTTTACAGTTTTGTTTGGTTCTCTAGCCACAGGGATTTTGATGTGACTTCTACAGAAAGAATTGTAATTGTGCAAGATTTCAATGGAGATATTTAGTGGCCTTGTTATCTAGGCACTGTAGTCTATGAAAGGGAGACAAAAGAGAGCGAGAAAGAAGAAAGAGGAGGAAGGAAAGAACAGAGAGAAAAGGAGAGAGAAAAGAAAGATGAAAAAAATGATAGAAAAAAGATAAACTGCCATGGGCATAAGCATGAACTGGTTTCATCATCAAAGCTCTGACTTGTTATCTCCTTAGAGGCCATTCTAGTAACCCGATCCACTTTTTCATCCCCAACTTCAACTTTGCTCAATCAATCAGCATAATTAATCATCACTAATAATACTTCTTTGGTTTCTTTTCTGTTTTTCATTCTCCTCTTTCCTTTGTCAGAATACTTTAACCCTTTATTCATCCTCCTCTATCAAAATCCTACATAAGCCCTCGAGATGTCACCGCCTCCAGAAAGACTTTCCTGATTCTCTCACTGAATGAAAATTTCCTTTCCTCAACTTGCCTAACACTTTTTACTCCTTTTAAGGCCCTCATCACAAGCTGCCTCTACTGTGGTTATTTGTGTACTTAGGTTATCTCGCCTATTAGGGTTTAAGCTTCTTAAATTCAGGAAAAGCCTCTTATGTCTCTCCTCCCTACTTTCCCCCAGCAGTGCTTGTTAGGGTTTTGACATTCATCAGGTATTTGCAACATAAAATGGAAATGAGTCATGAGCCTTGATATAGTGTGAAGATTTTCACTACCCAAATATCATGTTGAATTGTAATCCCCAATGTGGGAAGTGGGGCTTGAAGGGAGGTGATTGAAGCATGGGGCTGGATTTCTCAAAAATGGTTTAGCACCATCCCTTTGGTGCTGTTCTTGTGATAGCGAGTTGAATTCTTGAGTGATCTGGTGGCTTAAGAGCATGTGAAATATCACTCCCCACTATCTCTCTCTTGCCCCTGCTTTCGGCATGTGATATGCTGGGTTTCTATCTGCATTGCCCCCAGAAGCTGACCAATGTCCATGACATGCTTGTACAGCCCACAGAATTGTGAGCCAATTAAACCTCTTTTCTTTACGGATTACTCCGTTTCAGATATTTCTTTATAGCAATGCAAGAATGGCCTAATACAGGGCCTGTTTGGAATTAATAAGCTTCTTGGAGCCTGAACTATCAGATAAATATATGACTCTGCCTTAATCTGTGCTAAATTTTATGCAATGTCTTTATCTTATTTCTACTTTGTACTAAAAATCTGTATTTCAGAGTTATTAAAGAATATATTATTAAAACAGTAAGAGTACTTGTAAAGATTTTTAAAGTACCAATCTCCAGACTTCTTAGACCTGAAACATTACAATCTTGAAAGAGGCAATAAGTTACACTGTCAGGAACACAGACTCTGGGTCTAGATCAACTTGCTTCTGAATCCTGGCTCTGCTGCTTACAAGTTGTGTGACCTAAGTAAGCTCCTTAACTCATCTGTTCCTCATATTTAGTATCTATAAAACAGGAATAATAACAGTGCCTATCTTATAGGATTGATATGAAAATGAAATGCATTCATATATGTGAAATACATGGGACAGTATATAGTACATGGTTGGTGCCTAGTAGATTTTACCTATTATCTTACTATTTACTTTTACTACGATTATTATTTGCTTTCAGTTGCATATGACTGCTCCCTCAACGCTGACTCCAAAAGCATGAGCTTCTGAATAGTCAGTACCCTATTTTCTCAGTCTTTGTATTTCAAGCGACCCGCATAGTCACAGTGCCTGGTATAAACACTGAAAGAGAGAACCTTGAAGAAAATTCCTCCTTGGCCTAGAGGTGAACCTGAACTTGCATGGTCCCTGCCACGGGTATTCAAATAACCTTCTTTTCTTGCTCCCATCAACCTCTTATTTAACCCTGCTGGTTTTCATTTATTTTATAATTCAATCATAATGAATTTTAAAATCCATTCTAACTTCCAGGGATCTCTAGAGACTTGCTTCATCAGTCTGACATCACATTCATTTACATTTCTTATTTTTTTGTTTCCTTGTATGAGGTCTAAGAGCTGTTCCAATAAAACACTTTTAAGATTGCATTACACATACTGTGCGCTATTTATTTCTGGCTAGATGTTCAAATTAATAAGCAAGAAATTGCTGATGCCTTGATCAACGATTACAAATGGTAATGCTTTATCTGTTATAATTGAAAAAAACTGGACCTGGACTCTTCTTTTGTAACCGTCTAAGCTATTAGTTTAAGTGGAAAATATTTGCACAAAAAATATCCAATTCAAGTATAGGGAGATGTTAGAGGCCATCCAGCTTTATCACTTTCTCAAGATGGTAAGTTCTTCTGTATTCCCCACGACAAATAATCGTCTGTCTTCTGCCTGGATTGTACCAGGAAGAGTGAACACAATACTTTTAAAGTTCTCTTCTGCCTCTGGTGGACAATTTTAGTTAGTAGGCAATTGTTTCTTATAGTACTCTTAAAAACAACATAGGGTAGAAAAAATTCACCATCATCCGTCATGGCCTTCAAATATTTAAAAACAGGTATTTTATTTCTTGACATGTTACATATCAATAGATTGTACTAATGGAGCTCAAGAACTTATAGACCTGGAAGGCACATAAGCATAATTTAATCCTATTATTTGCAGAAAAAAAAAATGAGAGGTTCAGTAAATTGCATGATGTCACTTATTTGTTCATTCAGTTATTGACTACTCAGTAACTGGCTTAAGAAATTTATATTTGAAAGTCCATTATAAACATATACAATTTTGTAATTTATTATAAGGAATAAACTATGGACACATTTATAATTTAGTTTATAAATAATGTTGAAGATCTTGGGGAGCCATAGCTAATCCATTCTTCTCCTCCCTCCATCCCCAGAGGCTATCACTAATCTATGTATGTTATTTAACATTCAAACATATTGTATCAGTTAGTGTCCCAGCAGGAAAGCAGAACCACTCTGAGTGATATGGAATAAAGGATGTGTAATGGAGATTAGGTTTTATATGATTGCAGAAGCTGTTGAAATACCTGAAGACTCTTGCCTCTGTCTCTGGTTGTGGGCTTAAATTACTATAGTTTAGTAGGGTCAGAGTAAAGAATATAAGATAGACATGGAGTAGGGCAGAGTGAGGATAAAATGGAACATACAACCTTGATTTACTACATGTATCTGCATCCATAAACAATATGTGAAGTTGTGTTTCATGTCTTCAAGCTTGACATTAAGGTCATCTATCTTTTCTTCTGTATGATTTTCACTTTCATGTTATGTTTGTGAAATTTAACTATGTTGATAATTATTGTTGTTATTTGTGTTTTGTTTTATTTTGCATAGTATTGCATTGAATAATTTGACAATTTACTCTTCTTGATCAATATTTAGATTGTTCCCAAATTTTCAATAGTCAACCAATGCTGCAATGGTTTTGGACATGTCTGTTTGAGTACTTAGGTGAGATTTCTCCAAGCTATAGAATTAAAAATACCTCATTTGATTATAGATTCTGCACATCTTCAGTTTTACTAGTAATTGCCAGTTTTCTTCTGAAAAGTGTGACAATTTACACTTTTACCAGCAGTGTTTGACATTGGTGCTTCTCAATGGAGTTGGGGGGTGATTTTGCCCACTAGGTGACATTTGATCATGTGTAGAGATACTTTTAGTTGTCACAACCAGTGGGGGTGGTGGCATTCTATTGGCATCCAGTAAGAAGAGGCAAGGTTTATATACTGAACATCCATTTTTTTTTCTTTTTAAATTTCTAGATAACAATTATATAACGTAAGTTTACATTTCTAGAATTGTTTATATACTGAATGTGAATGAGTCTTAGAACCAGCCACCCTAAGTTAGCTCCACTGTATACAAACCACTTGTTTATTAGCAACCCAGAAGGGTTACAATGTGTATTCACTAGGCAAAGCACTTTTGAAAGGGGCACGAGATCTATGCATGTACTCTGGTCAGGGAAAATTTGGAAGGTAGCTATTGTAAAATCTCATCGATTACCGATGAAATAGCTATTAGAAAATCAACTGTGGCTTGTATTGTATTTCTGTTGAATAGTGCTCATCCAGGTAAGGGAAGTAAAACAAGTAACAGTTTAATAAAGGGTTAATAAAATGATCCTAATAGACTGCTTCCTAGCAAGGTAGCAGATAAAATAGTTAGTGGGAAATTATTTTATGGTCATGTCCATGGCAAATGAGAAATTGCATTCTTAAAATTTTGGCAATGACCATTTGCTAAACATCCTACAATGTGCAGGGCATTCCTGACAGTAAAGAATTATCTGCTATTGTAAACTGTGCTGCAGTGAACATTCGTGTGCATGTGTCCTTATAGTAGAACCAACCCAAATGCCCATCGATGATAGACTGAACAGCGAAAATGTGGCACATATACACGATGGAATATTATGCAGCCATCAAAAATGATAAGTTCATGTCCTTTGTAGGGACATGGATGAACCTGGAAACCATCTTCTCAGCAAACTGACACAAGAACAGAAAATCAATCACATCGCATGTTCTCACTCATAGGTGGGTGTTGAACAATGAGAACACATGGACACAGAGAGGGGAGCATCACACACTGGGGTCTGTTGAGGGGGAAATAGGGGAGGGACAGCGGGGGGGTGGGGAGTTGGGGAGAGAGAGCATGGGGAGAAATGCCAGATATAGGTGATGGGGAGGAAGGCAGCAAATCACACTGCCACGTGTGTACCTATGCAGCAATCTTGCATGTCCTTCACATGTACCCCAAAACCTAAAATGCAATTAAAAAAAAGTAAAAAAAAAAAAAGAATTACCTGGCCCACAATGACAAGTGTCCAGCTTGGGGAACACTGCTTTACATTCTTGCAGTGGGCACTGTCACTGTTTTATAGTTTGGCCAATCTGATGAGCGTGAAATAGTATCTCATTGCTTAAATTGTTATTTCATTGAAGTTTAAAATATTTTTCAAATGTTTATGTTAGCAATTCAGATTTTCTTTTGTTATGAATTTTCTGCTCATATCTTTTGACTACCTTTTTTATTGGATTATATTGTTTTTGATTTGTGTGCGTGTCTGTGTATGAGTTTTTTTTATCAATTTTAAATATTCCATTTCTTGGATACATGCATCCAATGTATCTTTTCCCAGTCTTGAGCTTGTCTTTTTCTTTATGCTTTTGTTTCTGTTTTTTTGGAAATTTATTTTAAATTTTATTGTGACAAATCAACTAATCCATGTAGCTTACGATTTCTTGTATCTCATGTCTACAATTTATAGAGCTGTTTTCTTTCTAAAGTTTATTAAGCAGTGCCTGTTATTAATGCATTTTCACACTGCTATAAATAACTACCCGAGATTTGGTAATTTATAAAGAAAAGGAGTTTAATTGAATCACAGTTCTGCATGGCTTGGGAGGCCTCAGGAAACTTATAATCATGGCGGAAGGTGAAAGGGAAGCAAAGTACATCTTACATGGCAGCCGGAGAGAGATGGGGAGGGGTAATGGCACACATTAAAGCCATCGACTCTCTTGAAAACTCAGTCACTATCATGAGAACAGCAAGGGAGAAATCTACCCCTAAGGTCCAATCATCTCCTACCAGGCCCCTCCTCCAACATGTGGGGATTACAATTCTCAATGAGGTTTGGGTGGAGACACAGAGCCAAATCATATCAGTGCCTCTCATATTTTAGTTTTCCTTCAACCTGAAATTTATTTTTATGTATGTAATAAAGTAGAAATCAGATTTTAAAGATATGGATAATAATATCTTGAAAACACTTTTTGGTTATTTTCTTCCTTGTTGATATTTCATTTCCCTTTGTTTCCTTGACAACCCTTTTTCTCATTTTTTTTTTTTTTTTGGAGACGGAGTTTCGCTCTTGTTACCCAGGCTGGAGTGCAATGGCGCGATCTCGGCTCACCGCAACCTCCGCCTCCTGGGTTCAAGCAATTCTCCTGCCTCAGCCTCCTGAGTAGCTGGGACCACAGGCACGCGCCACCATGCCCAGCTAATTTTTTTGTAGTTTTAGTAGAGACGGGGTTTCACCATGTTGACCAGGATGGTCTCGATCTCTTGACCTCGTGATCCACCCGCCTCGGCCTCCCAAAGTGCTGGGATTACAGGCTTGAGCCACCGCGCCCGGCCTTTCTCATTATTATTTAAAAAATATTTCTCTGTTGTGTTGGCTTCCATCTTTCTGAAAGAGTCTTTCCTTTGCTCTTTCTTTAAATTTTTGCAATTTCTGTGGTTTGCTCTTACTCTTTCTTTCTCTCCTTGTATGCTCATTCTGGATAAATATTACTGCTATGATTTACATCTCTAGTTTGGCTCTGTCTTCTGAAAGCCATTCCTATTTGTGTCCCCTGGATATTTCTACCTCAGTGACCACAGATACCCTACAAACAGCATTAACAAAACTAAACTCATTATTTTTCCTCTGCTCCTCTTCCTATTTTCCCTTTTTTATGTCTGTTTCATTGAACATCCAGTCATCCAACACTGGGTTCATACAGGAACCATAGATGATCCTCAATTCAAACTCATAGAACATTTATCCGGTCATATCATTGACTGGCTATCAAGGAATTAGACACCAGTTTTAGAATTGTGCATTTCCCTCCTCCTAGATTATTAAGGTTGATCTTTGTCTTTTGCATTTTGGTTGAAAGCCCCAAAATGAACAGTTCCAATCATTTGCCACTTAAACAAGATGATACTTTCTACCACCAACAAAAGAATTTATTTCTAAATGGTATCATATGTGTCAGCTGAAGGAAAGGTTCCAGTACATCAGCAGACAGGGCCCCATCCTGCACTGCCAATTCTCTGAATTCTGTGTAACTGATTTACATTTAACATCTTCAGGTCATCCAAGATTGGGGCTCACTAGCAGATGACCTACAGACCTCTTCTCTCATCCTGTTGACTCCAATCAATTTCTTTGTGTGGCTCAATTTTATATACTGTCTTGGACTGTGGCTTAGACTAAAAATGGCACCATGCCAGTTAGTTTCAACATTGAAACTTTTGCTCCTTTAACCACTCATAAATGGAGCATGAGTGGTGAAAAATGAGAATGTAGTGCTTACATTGTCCTGAATGTGTAACAAGATGATTATGAAGCACTTCGTTCACTGAGAGGCACATGGCAAGTACGTAATAAATTGTTGCAAATATTGTTTTTATTATTGTACCTAAAAACTCTTCCCTTGCTGCTTTTGATTGTGTATCTTACCACTAAACTCATACACCTCTCTAAGATAAACTCTGTGGCTGATTCAGTCCTGTAGCCCCGAAAGCCTCGCTTAGAGCCTGACCTATTGGAGATATTCAGTAGTTGGGGATTTAAATGAATTGTAAGTATCAGTGCCTTATTGAAAATGAGTTTATAAGGTGCTTTCCTGGGAGCAGTTTTTAGTAGAAGGAGAGAGAATGCAGGAGGAGACTGGGTGCATGAGAATGAAAGGGGCACCACCATTGGAAGAAAAATAGCCAAATGTCTACCATATTGTGGGCATGAACTCTGAGATACTAGACCGTAAGATGCTTTTGATTTATGCTATACATAGTATTGGTAGAACTTGCTAACAATTTGGAAAAACAGAGTATATCCCTATCCAACATCATATAGTAAAATGAATTCCAGACAGATTAAACGTGTAAATGGAAAAAATACAGCCATCAAATTTTGAAGGAAAATAGGGAGGGATGAATGTGTGAGCTTGGAGCAACATTTTCTAAGCATACCACCAAAAAAAGAAATTGATAAAAGACTTAATCTTATAAAAATAAGAAAAAAACCTGCCCTATTTAAAAATATTAATGAATGAAAGAGGAAAAAAAAAACAAGTTGTAATGCTATTTTCAAAATATATGACTAGGTATTAATATTCTTAACATGTGAGATACTCTAGTAAGTTAGGATGAAAAATATAGACAAGCCAATCAAAAAATGGACCAAGGGCATAAATATCCATTTCAAAAAAAGATGGACAAATCACCAATACAAATATAAAGAAAGTTACAATCAATAATTTAAAAATTGCCAATTAAAATATAATTTTCTGCTTTTTAAGTTGACAAACATTAAAAAAAATCACCAGCAATTTTCCATTTCCAGGGTGCACACTTTGTTATAAGGTGACTAAGCTCTGGAGACCTCATGTGCAGCATGGTGGCTATAGTTAATAGCAATGTATTGTATGCTTGAAATTCTCTGAAAGAGTATATCTTGAGTATTCTTACCACAATAAAGAGAATGTAACTATATGAGGAGATAGATACATTAGCTGATTGTGGTAATCATTTTACAAAAAATATACATATATCAAACCATCATGCTGTACACTTAAATATATACAACTTGTATTTGTCAATTATACTTCCATAAATCTGGGGAAAAGATCACCAGTGTTGTTAAAATTTTGGAAGAGGCACTTCTGTGTGCCACAGGTCATACATGGGTACCATCATTCTAGAAAGCAATTTGACAATATTTGTCAAAAACCAAAAATGTGTACTTATGTTTTGTCCCAGGAATTTCAATTCATGGAATGTATAATTTGTACCCAGAGCTTTAACTGTGAGAACATTAATCAACTTGTGGTTCGTAAGTGGAATTACAATTCTATTATCCAAATGACTGTGCTAGTCATGATGCCGTTTGTATTTTAGTTATCTTGGGTCTTACTAAGGTCACTGTGAATCGTTACATGACATTCTAGTTTTATACATCAATACCAAGAACTTGGATAATTTGAGTCTTCCCCGGAGATATATCTGAGTTTAGTGAAAGTAAACACGTTTCTGAGCCTACAAGTCTCAGACTGCAGATGCTGAAACATGGCAAATTTTCTCGTGTAATAGATTCCACTTAGAGAGACCTCTTAGGAGACCACCAGATCTCCCCAGATGACAGATTCCTCTGCTTCTCCATCTTGGCAGCAATGATAAAAGTTTCCTTGATTATATCTTCTATAGTATATATCAATTTTTTATTGCTATTATAAGATGTCACCATAAACTTAGCAGCTTAGACCAACACCCACATATTAGCTCATTTCTGTAGGTCAAGAGTCTAGGGAAGCTCAGCTGGGTTTCCTCCTTAACGTCCCAAAAGGCAGAAATCAAAGTGTCATCTATGCTGGGCTCTTATCTGGAGGCTGTGAGGAAGAATCCATTTCCAAAGGCATTCAAGCTGTTGGCAGAATACAGTTCCTTACAACTGAGGGACTAAGG